AAAAACTCCATACATGTGCAACATTTCTTCAATTATTGACGGTGACGTAACGTTATTGAAGCCTTGTCTTGCCTGATCAAAGCGCTGGTGTCATATTTTATCATTTCAGGTGTTCATAGGTCTCGGATTTCCGTATGAAGGCCCTGCACCCCTGGAGGCAATAGCACAAGGATGTATTTTTTTAAATGCCAAGGTAATTGCAAGGAAAAAGGTTACATAGAGAGTGCTGTAATTTTTGCATCTTTATCCTTATTATGAAACTGAGACCTTTGGAAGGTCTAAGGTTCTATTCCTCATGGGGACGCAGAATATTTTTTTTTTGTCCCACGCTCGTTACAAGACGAAAAAATATCGTTATGATTACTTTTGTCGTCATCATCATCATTATCATCATTATCATCATCATCATCATCATTGACGTTGCTATTATCATTGTTTTTATTTTATTATTATTATTATTATTATTATTATTATTATTATTGTGTAGACAACTTTTTTTCCCTTTGTTAATTTCCGAATATACCGAGATAAAGCAAAGATATAATTTTTTTTGCATTATTATGTGATGTCAAAAAGATCTTTCTCTTTAACAATTTAGCATGTATTTAGGATTTGGATTTTGGTAAAGTTACATATAAATAATGAAAATTGAAAAATATGTTATTGTTATTGTTAATTATTATTTTGCAGTTTGACCCTCCACATAATCGCCTCAACACAAGATTCTTCAAGGTTAAACCAACACTCAGAAACGTAAGAGACTGAAATGATATTTTTGTTAGATGAAGTCAGGTTTGCAAAGGCTTCTGCGGGAGTCTAATGAAAGAGATTGACTATTTTTATGTTGGCGAGTGTGATTTGGATTTCATTTTCTGTTTTATTACATCCATTTTTAAATCACTTGTGATCTTGAATCCTGAATGGCTCTCGCCGGTGCGATTTATTCACAAATCGCACCATTTTATACTCTAAATTGCATCGTTTTTCCAGCCAAGAGACAGCTTTTCTAAAACACAACCAATCAAATTTCAAGGCCTGATTAAAGAAATCAATCAAATTGCAGGAAAACGAGAGGTGACTTTTGCAATACTTTGCAAACCAGCTTAATATATTGGACTAATCAAATAATTTCAGACTCACTTTTGCGATTTCAAAATATATGTAATAAAGTCGTTGATATCTAATCAAACTTGCGCTGAGTACTCGTTTGATTTTGAAATCACGCGTTTAAGACCAACTTACACTTTACTCAGTTAAATTGCCATTACTAATCTGGGAAACATTGCTGAGGGAAATGTGTAATCGTTTAAGCTTTTATTTATTGTTAAGCAACATCACGAGGATTTGAGGTAATATTAGTCATTTGTGTTGTTTTTAGCTTACATCACAGCATCCTTACGCCGAAGTCTTCATCGGGAAGCCGCACGTGTTCACTGTTGATATTTCTAATCTTTCACATGTGGAAGAGGCTTTAAAGGAGATCTTAAAAACTGAGGTATTTACACCTTTGCGAATAAAGTGTCAGTTCTTCATATAGTAAAAACAATCATTTAGAAGAGTGATGAGATTGAAGGGGAGATTTTGATAGAGACAGTCTCGATGTGACATCTACATCTTAGAGAGATATATTCAAGGAAGCCTGCAGAATAGGCGTAATTTTTTCGCGTTTTTCAGTCGATCGGAAATGGCCAGATGGTGCGAAGTGCGAGCACGCGCAAGGGTAGGAGCGCAAAAAAATAAAAATAAAATAAGGATGAAGGAGTTACTGGCTGTCTTAGAATGACCGATGGAGAGATTGTCTTGGAAATAGTGAGTGAGTGATTGAATGAGTGACTGACTGACTGATTGACTACATTTATTTGTTCGGTTGATTGAGTAACTGATTGACTGGTTTACTAACTCGCTGACATGAGGGCTGTCTAACCGACAGATTTATCTGCTTAGTGGCTGAATGACCAACCGATTGACGACTGACTGGCTAGCTCTCTAAACGACTGACTAACCAACTAAATCGCTGCACAGAGACTTAGGAACTACAGCTGGCTATCGGCTTGCTAACGAACTGAAGGAATGACTGATCGAGATTGACTGGCCTGCTGACTGTCTGAATACGAGCTGAGGGCTAACAAATTGATCTACTTGTTGACTGGTTTTGTGTTGGTGGGTGGTTTGTGAACGAGTGCCAGACTAAACCTGGCCAACTGTTTGTCTCGGTGACTAATAGACTGACCGGCTGAGTGAGTGACTGAGTCACCGACTAATTGGCTGGCTGACTGAGTTATGGTGTGATTGACGGACTGAATGATTGGCTGATGAGTGGAAAATCAGACCACCTGTTTGATCGATTGAATTACTCGTTCTTGTAGGTCAAGCCTTACCTTCCTCGTGAATGGACGCCTAAAGGCATGTTGGAACGCGTGAATGCTTTCACAGAATATTATGTGAGTACCAAGGTGTGCATGTACGTTACTTAGCAAGTTGAGTTTATCAGGCTCAGCTGTTTCCAGCATGTACAACTTATTCTGTAAAGGAAGTAACTGATGCACTTTCGGAAAGTAACTACACCATAGTTCGAAATAAAGTTAGAAATGAAGTTGTCTTTATTATTCACTCGCTCTTAGAAAGAAACGTTCCAATGAGGGATTTTAAGATCATACTTTTTATAATTTATTATAATGTAATCAATGTTGATGAAGAGATTGACTGCCACTGTAAGTAGTGAAGCATGAAAAACTAGACTGAGCAAGGGAAGGTCGGTTGAAAAAAGCGTGAAAATTGGTAATTATTGACGGAAAAAAAGCAGAGGACTTGAACGGTTTCGAAGATCTATTTTGAACAAATAGTGCTCAGTTTTTGGGTTTTTGGAAAATCCTGCACGGTTTTGCTCATATATTTTCATAAAGAGTTGTTGAGGATGGGATTGAAATTTATTGTGCTGGACGGATAAGGAAGGGTACAAATCAATTTACAGATGTGTCTTTTTTTGTTTCTTCAGAACTTTTGTGAGCATATCGAGCGGTGGCCTCCATTATCAGAAATGATGCTATTGATGGGTGCAGCTGGGAAATCCTGTGTTGATGTCTGCAAAGAACGTGGTGGGTCTTTTATTTCTTTTTTTTTCATTTTTTTTTTCCTCCTGCTATTCTTCTTGCCACAAGATTGTCAAAGAGTTTCGCTACGGGTGAAAATTTTACCCAACGTATTGACCGTTTAACTAATTAACCACTTCTGAAAATTGTATAGGCTCATTATCATGTACCTTTTTTTTGTTTTTTTGTTTTGTTTTTTTTCAGAACTACTGTGTGAACCGACCTTCTTTGTGGACATTAACACTACAGAAGATCTTAAAAAGTAAGTCCTCTCCGCCCTTTTTTAGGGAGCATGATTTTAGGGTGTTAATAATCCAGATTTAGCGAAGTCTATTAGTCAGTAGCCGGCCAACTTTGAAATGGCCGCCTTTCTGCCATCTTGAGTTGGCTAATTGTACTTCATTTTATTGTAAGTGATGATGAAAGAGCAAAAAATTTGTTGTAATACCTTCAAAGGAATTTATGTTCCAGCCACTTCCAGGGTTTGGAGGTCTCTTTTTTTCTCAATTTTTCCAAGTGTGGAGAGATATCCTATATTACTTTTATCTTTGACTAATTCAAACCTTTTTACGAACCCTGCGGTAGAGGAAGGGGGCTCAGCTGTCGTCTATATTATCGATATTCTCATTACAGTTTCACAGCTAAATCAAACAGAAGGATCATGAGAATATAGAAAAGGATCACTAGCTGAAGAATCTCTCCAGTTTTAGGCATATTCTCCATGTTAGTATCATAATAATTGCATAGAAAAAGATTGTGGCAAATATGCATGTTGATGTTAGGATTTGAAGGGTTAACACGCTTTTACGTTAAATTTGCACTTAGTAGAGTAAAAATAATGGACGACTCGAGTAAAAATATCATCTGCCATTCTACAGTTTAGAGGACAGTTGGTTATTTTTACTATAATCAGGAGGGAGCGTTATGCAATACCTGTTGCAAATCGCTTCTCTATTTGCATCGGTTTCCCTGCCTTATAATAAAAGTACATAAAAAGGAAAACCTCGTCGAGATAATTTTTAACTTATGTGAAGTTTTGGTACTAAGTATCGCTGGGTATCGCAACTCACTTTTTGTATTTTGACTCGTAAAATTTCTTTGCGATATTGCGCACGAAAACTCCTAATGTGATATACATATTGCCCTTTACAAGGTTTGGAATGAAGTGTAGCGCTGTGGAGACCAAAGAGTCACTGTTAGCTCCAAGTTACGATGTGTCAACCCACATGTGCACGCTACAGAAACAGCCTGTCCTCTTTACATGCCTGGCTAAAGAACCTTCTGCCAGACGCCTTTGTCCATGCAGAGACTTTCAAACACAGCAGGTGGCGTTTTGTAAACAGTGCCATTAGTAACTGTCTCAAAACAGCCTGCTGTAACCTCTAACTTACTCAACAAATCTGACATCCTTGAGTTTATCCCCTTCCCCCCAAACTAAACCGCGGACGTACAATATCCCAGATATGTGTAACCACGCTATTAAGGTGATACTCCCAAGGTAAATTTTAGCAGAAAACGCTTTGAGTTCTAATCTTGGAGGGTTGACTGTTACATCGGTGTATCTTACACGGGCTTTTTAGGACGTTTTAAGAAAGAGTATTTTAAATTTAAAAGGAATTAAGAATTTAATGAAGTCACTGAATCTATATTACACATGAATTATGAAGATTTCATGTTATTGAAGATAAGCGAAGGAAATTAAATTATTGGAAAAGCACACAGTTTATTTATTAGCGTCGTGTTGTCGGGGTCATGCTGCAAATATTTGTCCCAAAAAATGTCCTTATTTACTCCGATTTATGCGTTGTTTGGATGACAAAACGCTCGTTGCCTTCTTTTCGTGAATTCCAGAGTCCTTTCTTAGTTATATGTCAATTTTGTAGCCTCTCTAATTTATGACATCTATCCGTGTTTTCATTCGCTTCTCGTCTATTGTTTCATTCAATATTTGTTTTACCACTATATTTGTTAGCTACTGCTCATTCTTTAATTCGCTTCTTATGTGCTGTAGTATTTTTTAGAAACAAATTTATTGTATTTATTTGTCAAATTCAAAAATTTTGAGCAGTTGTTAACTAGATGATTGTAGTTATTACCAAAAATTTTATAAGGGCATAGTCCCAATAGAATATTTGGGACGTAGATTCATCGATTGACACTAGCTATATAAATTTCTATAATAGTTAAGTTTAATTTTTTTCTTAAATTTCTAGTAATCATTAAAATAATTTTGTATGTCATGCCTCTTTGTTTTGCCCGTTTTAATGCTTCTCTAACTAGTTCCATTCCTGTTAGTTGCCAACGTAATTTTACTGTTTCAATATGCAACATCGACCACGTTTTACAAGGGTCAATTACTTGTCTCCTAAAGTTCAATAACGGAATTTTGTTGTCACAGTATCAGGCTCATATCTATGCTTAATATACATTTTCTAGGACAACGTCAAACACGTCGGAAAGAGCGTAATTAGCTGTCTGTGTTGCTTAAGTTTCAAAGTCACAGCTCTTATGTGGGTCGAGGAAATCCTCTCTGAATAGAATTTGGTTGATAAGCAAAATAAAAAAAAAACTTTCAACAAGGTTTAGGAAGGTAGCTTCAAAAGCTCATTTACGAATTTCTCTCGTTTTATTTTTCATGCCTTTATATCTCGGTCAGTAAGGAAAATTCCGAGACAATTAAAGGTTCGTTGAGATATCGTAATAAGCTGGGCACAACGGAAAGTTTTTAACGTTGCAGGTCCTTTGTGGACTGAGAAAAACTCTAAGAATGGAAAAATTTCCAGTGAGCTAAAAAAGCGTCATTTGCGCTTTGAAATATGCAACTTTCAAAGTCCCTGTTCCTTTGTGGGCTTAGAAAATCTCCTCTGATTGTTAAAGTAATTATGTTTTTTAATGAGCTAAATGGTCGGGTTTGGGTTAGGGATAGGCAGTAGTCCCCAAATGCTCTTTATCGCTTGGCAGCAACATAGGAGTGTCTCATTCTGTAGCATGCCAGTGTTGTCTGCCGTGTTCATTGATGGAGCCAGGCTGCTGTCACGTGGTTCTATCGTTGATACATTGCAGGGCATCCCGGCTCTGATAAAAGAAAAGATGAAATTAAGACCACATACACAATGGAGCGTTTTCGTTTGAAAACGCATCTTTTTGTCTATCGACTACATCAAAACGACCAGAAACGAATATTTTCGAAAAAAGTTTCAAAAAGGAAGGAAACGGTTCCGTTTCTTGCATAGAAAAGTGTTAGAAGAATTACTCTAGGACTCGGTTGAATTTCCTTTATTTCCTGGCTGAGCTCCAATTCTTACTCTCGGGGACTAGCCAGTCTTGATCTTATTCACTACAGTCAAACTTATTCCTTTCGACATACGTCCACACTGTTCTACTTTGCTATATTCTCTGATTGAAAGATACTGTGCACCAGCTTATAAAGGTGACACCAAAGATGACACTTCTAAGCTGTCAATCTTCTTACATCGCGATCGCTCCGTTTTAGCCAGCGAATCACATTAGAGTACGTACGACAGTTCCTGCATACTAAGTATGCACTTTCGAATTGTTTACGCAATCACAAAATCATCTTCTACCCTAAATTTCTTAATTCTACGGTTAAGATCGGCCAGAACGAAGACAAGATTGATAATATAAAAATTATAAATAACCTATTGGGAGAATTGAAATTACGCTTGAAAAGATAGTTTATGAGAAAATAGCCATACAGGATTGTTATATAACAACAGAGTAAACAGAAAATTCGGAGAAGAAGGGGCGTACCCAAGGTACCGCCCCTAAGAAAACTACGTGCTATTCGCATAAGTTATATAATTACAAATTCATTGCGGAGATTTAAAAGCATAAGCTATTTACAATCAGAGTCACCTTTTTGAGAAGAGGTGTTGAGGGTGTTAACTTAAAATTTAAGAAATATTCTGGAATCGTGAATTTGACTTAGAATTTAACCAACAACAAACCAGTCTGAAAGTAATCAATAATATAAGAAGCAGGAGTTTCCAGGAATTCCTGTGCGAGGTTAACTTTTACCAGAGAGATTTACAACTAGAAAATTGACATAATTAAACCATAGCTTATCACAAAATAGTACAACAAGATAGATCTAATCACCTTAGAAACGGAGCAACTGTTTCCGTACCAAATTCACAACCGCAATAGGAAAAAAAAGGCGAAAGAAATTGTACTTAGATGTCACCGCCAAAAGGAATAAGAAATAATCAACCTGTCTTATTTTAATTTGTATCGAATGGCTTAAAGTAATATAATATTTCCATTCTTTTTCCCAACACCAATATAAGGGAACCCTTACAATATTAATCTTTAAATATAGTTCTATTTTTATCGTTTAACAAGTTAAAAAGAAGGGTTTGGTGAATCAGAATGGATCTCTATACATTTGCTATATTAACAACAAGGCACAACTTCCTTTTAACAGCGCGACACTGGGTACTAATACGTCCGCCTAATTAATACTTACAATTTACTTCTGAATAGCAGAGGGGCATCTTGTTGCGCATGCGCCAAGAAAATCTGCTTGGCGCGTTCGGCGCCATTTTGATATTTTCAGCGCGCTTTTGCAGGTTCTCAACTGAGCGATCGACACCTTTCTGTGATACTTTTTGGAGAGGGATGAAAGAGTATGACAAGTTTACCACCATTTCTAACTCTGTGGATACTCCTAGAGTTTGCTGGCTCTTCGGATGAGGATATTTTAATGATCAAAGTGCGAACAAAACGCGAAAAAAGACCGAAAACTTGAAGTTTGAGATTTGATTTGCTGACGATCAAGATGTGCACATGAGAGTAAAAAACTTGAAGGTTAGTCTTAGGATGTCGATTTCTTACTTCTATGAATCACGAAGTGGTGCGTGGAGGCGATCGTGAGATATTCGTTACGATAATAGAAGGTAGTTTACAATTTGATCTTATTTTACTTCAACTTTGAAATAAAATCACGTTAAGTTCGAGGTGGCCCCCAAGCTTCTTATCACTTCAAATAACATCTTCTCTTCTTTCTCTTTGTAGTCCCATAGGACACGAGGCTTAAAAGAATGTTCCAGCTGCAGGATTGAGTTGCTCTTTCTACAACCTTCGGCGAATTCCTTTTTGGGAGGTTGAGATGGATTTTCCAAGTCATAGCCCACAACTGTCTTTGGCCTTTTTGCTCTCCAAGTCTGTTGTACTTGGTATGTAGGCATGTCTTAACAACGTTTATAGTCTATCCTCGATCATCTCCGGTTTTATCTAATTTTGTTGCTGTGTTTTGGTGAGAATTTTTCTGATTGCCCTTTTGGGCTTGAGGTGCTAACTAGAGGATAAACTTCGGTAGAACTTGTTTTATCACATGGCCCCCACATCCCTCACCACTGTCAGTCCATTGTTTATTTATTTAGCTTTCGGTCTAACCAGTTCATTTGCCCCAAAAAAATGCGTGGGCTTTGTATCATGAGTTTAAACTGGTGCTGTTTTCTTCATGTTCATGTGTTATTCGAAACGGATGGCGTCAGCTTCATTCCATCTTGTTTGTTTGAGTAGAATACTCCTGCCATACAAAATGAATTTGAGTCGAAGTGTACTATAAAACTCGCAGATTAAAATTATCTAACTTTCTCT